GTATTACTATACTTGTGGGGACATTTGGTCCCCATAACGTGATGAATACCAGGTGCACACACACACACACACTCACACACTCACACAAACACGCTTGTGAGCTTCTGAATCTCTCTCTCTCTCGCTCTCTCGGTCGGTCTGTCTTCTCCAGTTTCTCTGCAGATTCATCATGAAATGCTTTCAGAGTCTGTAACTCCTCCGTCTGCCAGAGGAGCGTTCCCATAGTTTGGCCTCCTGCTCCGGACGCGCTGGAGCCAGAGAGGCACATCTGTCTGAAACACAACCACCAACGCCACCCACACGCTGGGAGACCGGCGGAGAGACGGCTGCCCATCTGCTGCAGATGAGCCTCTACACTCACAGAAACAACTACCACTAAACCACAGACAGAGGATAAAAGAGACTGTGTGTTGTTCCTCGTCATCAACAGTCTGTTAAACATCATCACCGCATGACTGCACATTTACTCTCAAACCCTCATTAATGCAATGTGAAAAAATGAGCATTTTAACTGCATTTCATTTATGCTGATTGTAATAATAAAAAATTTCATTTTTTTTAAAGTATTACAGTAATGAGAATAACATTAAAGAGCAAAAACAAATAAATAAAACACAAAAATTTCTAGAACGTGTTGAATTTTCATTAATGAAATAATGTCACAATGCGAAAGATACTTAATTGTTAAAGCAATATATTATTATTAGATATTATTTTGATGATAAATATTAAAGGGATAGTTCACCCCAAAATGAAAATTCTGTCACTAATTACTCACCCTCATGTCTTTCCAAATCCGTAAGACCTTCGTAAGAACTTCAGAACACAAATTAAGACATTTTTGATGAAATCCGAGAGCTCTCTGACCCTTCATAGACAGCAACACAACTGAAACGTTCCCAGGTCCAGAAACGTAGGCTGCCCATCTGCTGCAGATGAGCCTCTACACTCACAGAAACAACTACCACTAAACCACAGACAGAGGATAAAAGAGACTGTGTGTTGTTCCTCGTCATCAACAGTCTGTTAAACATCATCACCGCATGACTGCACATTTACTCTCAAACCCTCATTAATGCAATGTGAAAAAATGAGCATTTTAACTGCATTTCATTTATGCTGATTGTAATAATAAAAAATTTCATTTTTTTTAAAGTATTACAGTAATGAGAATAACATTAAAGAGCAAAAACAAATAAATAAAACACAAAAATTTCTAGAACGTGTTGAATTTTCATTAATGAAATAATGTCACAATGCGAAAGATACTTAATTGTTAAAGCAATATATTATTATTAGATATTATTTTGATGATAAATATTAAAGGGATAGTTCACCCCAAAATGAAAATTCTGTCACTAATTACTCACCCTCATGTCTTTCCAAATCCGTAAGACCTTCGTAAGAACTTCAGAACACAAATTAAGACATTTTTGATGAAATCCGAGAGCTCTCTGACCCTTCATAGACAGCAACACAACTGAAACGTTCCCAGGTCCAGAAACGTAGTAAGGACATCAGTAAAACAGTCCATGTGTCATCAGTGGCTCAACTCCAGTTTTGCGAAGCTACGGGAATACTTTTTGTGCGCAAAGAAAACAAAAATGACAATTTATTCAACAATTCTTCTCCCCGTGTTACTGTCTTCCGCCATTTTTGGAGAGTACCACGACGCATACCCTGGACGTAAACAACGCTGATTACATTGATTACGTTCTTCAAAAATATCTTCATTTGTGTTCCGAACATGAACGTCATGAGGGTGAGTAATTAAAGACAGAATTTTCATTTTTGGGTGAACTAACCCTTTAAGTTGTTAAATATTAAAGGGGTCATATGATGCACTTTCAGTTTTTCCTTTCTCTTTGGAGTGTTACAAGCTCTTGGTGCATAAAGAAGATCTGTAAAGTTGCAAAGACTAAAGTCTCAAATCCAAAGAGATATTCTTTATAAAAGTTAAGAGTCAGCCACACCTACCTAAAACGGCTCGTGTAGAAAACGAAGCGTTTGAGAGAGGCGGGGCATAGAGGACCTACAGTAATGTACAGTATTTGAAAAATAATGTGTTTTTTGAACATTAAAGCATGTCAACATATTCAGTTACACTAAATACACAAAATAATGATCTTTAAAATAGCATCATATGACCCCTTTAAATTATTTAAATTGTCTAATTTAAGCTGATTGTGCTAAAAAATATAACATTTTACAATACAGTATTACAATAATGAGAATTAAATCAAATATATAACTTAAAAATTTGTCAAGAAAACAACGTCATAATGCAAAATAATAATATGTGAATAATGTTTTTAATGAGAAAACAAACAAAAAGTTTATTATTTAAAAAAGAAAGAAAGATAGAAAGAAAACACAATTCAGTCACAATTAAAAAAATTCCTGGTTCTAAACTAGGCTTAATGTTTTACAATTTTAAGACTAGGCTAAAAAAAATTGTATATCTCTTAATTGTTTTCTTTTCTTCTTTTTTTTTTTTGGCCAAAGTAAAGGAGCAGGACATGTGGGATTCCTGCATCATGTTGGGATGCTGGAGAATGACTTTGATCAGCGGTGACCTGCTCTTACAGCCGGTGCGTGAGGTTTGCTGGAGCAGGGATCTGCTCGCGGCTGTACCCTTGGCTTAAGTCTGCGTGAGCCGTACAGGCTTATGTTAAAGAGGATGAGGACTGCTGCAGACCTTTGGCCTACTTCAGGACTGGTTGAGCAAGGAGAGAGAAAGAGAGAGAGAGCGAGAGAGAGAGAGATAGAGAGAGAGCGAGAGAGAGAGAGAGAGAGAGAGAGAGAGAGCGCGCGAGAG